TATCACATTTCGTATAAATCAATGCGATGATGAAGCATTGAGACAACGACGACAACGGCGAAAAAAAAGCGCACGTCCGCTCCGAGCTGGCTGAATGTGTTGATTGGAAGCTTGACTTTGATGTGTAGTAATTAGTCGCATATTATGCTCGCGAGTAGGCAACAGACACTGGTTATTGCTGCTGCTGGTGCTTCTGTTGCTACTTGGGCTGCCGTCCAACCTGGAACACCGAAACGAAAGAGAATGTGCAATAAATTATTCACATAAATACTTATGTGATTTTGATAGTAATTTTTGCAATGAAAACTTTTTTCACTCGATTATCGATCGAAAAGAAAATCGAGGATGGCAGGCGCGTCAAGATGATGATGAAAATTTAAGTATATGCACTTCAATTAAAAATGATCATCATTCAAAGCAACAATAAAAACGAAGCGTTTACATACTGTGGTTGACGACCAAACTGAAGAAAAAAAGGAGTCCTCCGAACATTCCACCGAAAAATTGTCGCGCTACCGTGTCCAACCGATCGACACAGAAAAAAATAACATTTAATTATCATAAACACGATTATTCTTTTCTGGGCGCTCTTTCCCATCAAAAAATTATGAGGTTTTGATCTTTTAATTTATTATTTTTATACGTGAAGCCGACATACTGTCAGTTTCTGTATGCACTTCACTCTCTCTCTCTCGCTCTTGTTCACCTGAAAAATTGTTTGTCGCTTCGGTTCATCGGAAAAAATTTCCTGTCGTGGCCAATACCAAGTCGCTGTTTGCAAAATATGACATAAACACAAGTTTTTATTACTCAAACGAAACGACACATTTTTTTTTTAAGAAATCAACGAAGTCCGAAACAAAAACGTCATTCCTTGCATAATCACAACTCGCGAGTAACGGCTATTTTATTGCCTGATCGATCAACCAAATACGAATGTTATTATTAAAAAAAATTTCAATTAATTACATACAATTTGTTTAATTTTCAGTTTTTGGTTTCAGAATTTGTGTTGTTGTTTCTTCTCTGTTGTGAATTTTAAATGTGTGCGACAATTGCAGTCGCATTGAATCAATGGAAAAAATGATGTAAACAGGATATTTTCCAATTAAAACACGCTGAATCGATTTGTTTATTTTGAGGTTGTTGTTGTTGTTTCTTCGTTTAGAGGAGGATGCGCAACAGTAGTGAGGATGCTTTTGTGTTTTATTTAATGACAACTTTATTCATGAGGTTCGCGTTAAAAAAAATGCAAACCATGAACAAGAAAAAATCTCTTCCATATGAAGATGTCGACGAGAATTTCAAATTGAATGAAAAAAAAAATGGTAAAAACGCTTTGAATAATGGAGTAATAAAGATAATAATCGTCGCATTGCCTAGAATATCGGAAGAGTGTGGCTCATTTTTTATATTTCGTCAAGGCTGTCTCGTAAAATTTACGATCTGCATTTATCTGATGTGAAACACTATCTGCGCTGCCAAAAATGGGCTCGCTCACAAATTACATGTAAATTTAATTTTGTAAAATATAAAAATCGAAATGGATCATTATCACATCAGTGCAAGTTAAGCCATTAGAATATGATCAATAAAATTGACTGATAGCCGCCAGACGGTGATTTGTTTTGCAAATGACCATAAAACAAATTGGAGCACCGATTTTCGAAAGTGAAGTTGTTTCGAATTCAATTCTCGGTCCAATTTGCAATGGTGAATTTTTTTTTTTTGAGTTTTATGTAAATGCTTTTTTGACATGTGTTGAATGTGTGCTTAAATTATGGTAATGTGCTTGCTGATTTCCTTGAATATTCAATGGCTTTTTTGTCGTTTTAGATGCGTAAGACGTCATTTGGTTAGAAATTACGTCGATCACTTTATCTATGTGTCATCTACGGGCTCTGTCATCATTAAGAACAACTCTCAATTTCAACGGCATTCTTGACACAAAATCATCGAACGATGAATAAATTGAAAAAAAAAAAAATAAATAAAAAGTCATAAAACAAATGGAACGACCATAAAACGAAGTGGTGATAAAACTCAAATCCATGCTCAATGTTCAATAAAGAAAATCAATATCACGGATATCGAAATTATTTATCGTCAAAATCCTGTAAATTAATTTTTATAATACTTTATGGGAAGGTGACCTAAAAAAGAGAAATCGAATTGTGCATCAAATAGATCACAATTTTTTGGTTGAGTTACCTAAAATGTAAGCGTTTAGCGGTTTTGGATGACTTACGTGTGATGGGCATGGGAGAAAAGTAGAGAGAGTGAGAGCAAAAGCAAGAGCAACAGCAAACGAGTGACAGAGAGCAAGAGGCAGAGCGATGGAGAACGAAAAAAAGATAAACAGAGAGTGAGTAAGTGAATGCGAGTGTGGTGGGCATCAAAGCGAGATAGATTTGGTCATTTTTTCGTTGGTTTTTTTTTCTTCTTTATTTAATCGAATCTGTGACAATGTTTCAGCGTAAGCGGGGTAACCTGAAACGAGAATACTACAAAACTGCAAAAGCGCATTAAATTGGATATTTGCATAAAACTACTAAAATAAATACCGTATTAGATCGAAAATGGCCAATCGAAAAACGAAGCAAGGAAACGCGACTAAACCGAGTCTGGGTTTGAGTTTTTTTTTTGGCAAATCGCAAAATTATTATGCAATCTGAACAAAATAGTTGTCTCTTCACCTTAATTGACCCAAGCAATGTTGTTGCTTTTTTATGGCGTTTGCATTAAATTTCAAAAATGTAAAATAGAGGAAGAGATCCACCTTCGCTATCTGATCAAATGAATTTAATATGCACTTTGTGACTCGAGCCGAATTATTTTTGTAACAGCATTTATTTGTTGGCTTGTGAAACTTCATTTTGTGTTCCATTGTCCCGTTTCGATTTTTGTTTCCTAAACCGGTTCACCAATCGTAATAAATCCCATCGAAATCAAAACACTCTCAAAGCAATAACAAAGTTAAGCTCTTCACTGTTTTCGCAAACTGAAGCGATCGAATGACAGAAATAAAAATTGGTTGCAAAAAGAGCTGAAACTCTCACGAAATAAATCTGCATTGTCCGGAGAAACGATTTGCCCATTGAACAAATCACAAATTTATGCTATGATGTTGAGAGATTTGCATAATTTTGATATTTCATTTCATGTTATTTGTTACTTGGCCAAGAATTTGTTCTTTCTTTTTCGTTCTTTTCGAAGTGCGGTGTTTGAATTGACGAATGAATTTTAAAATTATTGAAATTTATGCGATTAACTGTACGATTTCCGAAGCAGAGTCACTCTCGTTCACTGTTCGTTCTGCCAGAGTGTACACAAATGGAGGGAGAGAGGAACAAAACGACCAACAAGGTAGTGATGATCGTTTCAAGTCCAAGGCTGTCTGCACATATGTTCAGCTCTTCAATTTGGTTTTATGTCCCGTATTTTCAAGTTCTCGACTCCACACACACACACACACACACACACACACAAGGTTACCAATGCAATAAATCTTCTAATTATCGTCCAACGAACAACCAATAAAACACAAGATTTTGCTAATAGAATCAGATTATTTTTAAAAACGTCGTGCATTTTTTTGCGCTCACTCACTCACTTGCTCGTTCATTCGTGCATTTGTTTGGTTTGCTCTCGAAATTTGCGGTAAACAGAATTTTGGCCAGAAGGAAATAAGTGTGTGACCAATTTATTTCGAGAATACGTATTTTATTGCATCAGCCATCGTCGAATCGGTGTGCGCTCATTTGTGTGAAATAATCACAGCTCAGTCAAACAATATCTATCATACTTAATAGATTTGCTTTAGACGATGTCCCTTCAAATGAAGTCATTCAAATGTTTGTGCATGACCAATTTCATAGAGCAGACCAAACACAATTCTAATCTCTTTGTTTGGGTGCGCATGAGATTCACACACAAATCCGATCACACGAAATTGAAAATTCCGCTCATTTCGTCTGAGACGTGCTCAAGGAATTTCGTTTTTCATCAAGGAATAAACTGTACGCTTCATTCCAGTAGAATTTTTCGATTCGCTAAATGGGCTTTATTCGTATCGTCTGTGAATCATGATATAAGCCAACTCAATTAGCTAATTCAACATATATATTTTTTTTTTCAATTTTAATTCATATATGATATAAAAATGAATCATTTTTTCTGTGGATTAATTTTCCAATAAACCAATTTTCCTTACAATTTCAAACAGGCTCGAAGTTTGTATACGTATAGTGTTCGCTTGAATCAAAAGTTTTTATTTTCAAGAAAAAACTGTTTTTTTCTACAAATGTCCGCCGAATATTGTTCCATTCATTTTTGTTTATTTGTTCGAAAATGCATTCGGTCATTTCAATAAAAGCTGTCAAGACGGATTTCAAAAAGCATTAAAATCCAATTTAATATTGATGATCTTCTATGCATGGATTGAGAAAAAATTTCGCTTTCAATATTCATGATGAATTTAGCTTGAAAAATGTATTTTTAATTAGTGGGAATCGCTTGTGGGTTCAAGTTTAGACAGGTAAACTATCAAAACATTGTCTGTGGTCAGTCACAAAACCTGAACGAAATCGTATCACGAAACAAGGATTGGTCCAACGCCAAATCGTTATAATTTATGTGTATTGATGTGAAAATCGATTACGAGATACTTATTTATTATTTTTCATTTTTGCATGGTTATGTAAACGATGCGAGTTTGATTTGATAATTTGGCAATATATTGATTTGATAATTTGGTAGTTATTGAAACGAAAAAGATTAGAAAAGAAGAAATTAAGAAAAAAAGATCTTCAAAAAATGAAATTCATGACCCAGAAAAGCTAGAATAATCACCAAAAAAATGATAAAAACCAGTCTAATTCATCACAAAATAATCAAAGCAACGTTTCTGATACATTCAACGAATTTGAAGAAGTCAATTATCCGCGCTATGGAATGGAACGTTCTTCGCGCAACTTTGACGCATAACCAACTTCACGCTGGTTAAACTGTCACCATAAAAACAATTTCAAAACAACCGACTAAATATTTGCACAACGATTGAATTTTAACGATAAAACTTGCCATTTCTGATTGTAAACATGTTTGTACCTTGACCAATTTCGCAAAAAGTAAGTTTTATTGAAATTCCTCCTAAATTCAATCATTGATTCGAGTGATTTTTGTAGGAATCTAATGTGATTGTCCATTCAGAACAATGTTGGCGACAATTTGTGGTTGGATTGAGACAATAGTGTCGGTGTTTGTGAAAATCTTAGCGGCTGGCTACGTTTTGGGTCGATTAATAGCACACATTTTGTCGTTCATCAGCGATGTCGTCGTTGAATTGGTCAAAATTGTCGCTGCATTTGCCGTCACATTCTACGAAGATGCGAAGATTTTTGTGCATGATATGGATTATCAGTATGGACACATCCTCAAAATGCTCAACACCGGTATAAACAACTCGGTTGACGATGCTTCTCGAGTGGCACTGACAATGTCTTCATCGATTACATGGTTCAGCGAACAAACGAAATCGGAAACGCAAAGAATGTTCATGGGATTTCTCAACCTTTTCTCATCCAGTGCCATGGGTATACGCAATTGGATTGTATTGGTTGGGAACAGCGTTTGGATGCTTCTGATGTGCATACCGAATTTGACGATTTTGATTGTGCAAAATGTGATCAAATTCACGTTGTTCATTTGGAAGAGTATTGTGGACACAATTAAACTATCGACCAATGTGGCTTCGGACTCGATCAGCATAACCGTAACATTTTTCACATCGGTTCCTTTGCAATCAGTGTGCGGGTTAATTACAATTCATTTCATTATTCGATATCGACAACACGTACTTGAGGGACTGAAATTTGTATATCGAGCCATTGTCAAGGCTGTCCAGTACTTTGTTCGCAATATCATCACAGGGATGCTAGCTGTGGCCGAATTTTTAACAGTTCTGATTAGCCCGCTACGGAGTTTCGTACCGAATGTATGGCGATTGAGCTCGATACAAGATGACTACGCCAACCCTTCAACCAGTCCGACCAAAGTTGATGCTTTTAATTTCTGTGTGATTTGTCAAGATAAAGTGAAGTCTATCGTCCTATTACCGTGCCGTCACTTGTGTTTGTGTCAGGAATGCTTTAGACAACTTCGTCGCTACCGGAGAGAATGTCCCATGTGCAGAGAACCATACGAACATTCAATCCAAGTTTATGCTTAATATATCAAAGTGACGTCTGTCCAAGGCTATTCTAAATTTTTTCAAGTAGACATATTTCGTGTTCAAAAACAATTGATAATTTCTATGAAAAAATAATTAAATCAAATATTTTTTTTAATAAGCATGTAAATCGCCTTTAAGCACCACAAATGAGACTGCAAAATGAAATGATTTAGGGAAAAACACAATTTTTCAAATAAGAATCAATAATCAGAAAGAACTCAGACACGAAAACAAAGACTTTGAAGAATCTTGTATAATTCCTTAGCATTGCGATAAAAACTAGACATACATTTAATGGAAAAAACGAATTGTATTGAATAAAAGGAGGCTTTTTCTATAGGAAAGATATATTTTTATTAAATGTCAAACAAAATAACAATAAACTAGTACGAATTTGTGCATTTTTATTTCCTTTTTCCCTTTTTTCTTGTTTAAACATCCCAAATCTTCTGAAAATATTTTTCTTTTCTAATTTTTAATTTTTTTTCTTCGAAAACTCTTATATTTAGATTAAATTTTCAACGTCATTTCTTGCCATAAATTAATATTTTTTTCGATATTTCTAAAACATTCATTCAAGGCTTGAGTCTCAAGCAACACACAAGCAAAACAAAAACATATACTTTAATGTCAACCACAACAAGCAAAAGAACACACACATATCATGCGAATGCGGTTCAACAAACAAAACAAAACTGTAATATTATTACTCTTTTCTAGACTTTAAATGATCGAATGCTAAATAATAAAAATTAACGAACATAACCGTAAAAAAAATTGCAAACAAATAATATGTGAACTTTAGACACTAATCACAGCTGAAATTTCGTTGATTCGATAAAAACGTATCGAAATTTTGGCTATAATCTAATTGTTATTCTTCCTTCAGCCGATGTGTAGGCCCATCAATCGTGCCATTAATACCATTTGTCGTGCTGATGTGATGTCGTTCTTCGTTCTTTGAATCGTTTTTCCTTGAATGTTCCATCGTTGAATCATCCTTGCTCGAACCTCGCTTCTTTGACTTTGGTCGTTCGTCATCAATGAGCTCCGGTTTGCAGAGTAGTACCGCGGCCACCTTTCGGTAGATGAAGCGCACGCAAACCAGCAACATTTTCAGTATATTCCCCAAAAAACGAAAATACAATGACCCAAATTGATACGATTGGTAGAATAATCGGAATATTTTCTGTGTAATATGGAAATATACGAGTACGGCTAATATCGAGACCATTATGATTGCATGAGCATACTCTAAATTCGTATCCGAATCGATGATTTTCATCGAAGCGACGCTGATTCCGTTTAATACTTTCGTGAATACGTATGTGGTTCCGTTGATCACTTGAATGATGCATGGTGAAATGTATGTGAAAAAGATGCGCAATATCAATGAGAACAGTTGGCTTGTGTATTTGGTGAGAACGGGTAGAATATAGCCAATAACTGGAATTAGGTAATCGAATGAAAAAATGTAGACTGATTTAAGTATCCAGCAAATGAAGCACATCAAATGCAGCAAAAAGTCGATGAAATGCATTTTTCGTTGCGGTTACTATTGCTGCCGTCGTCTTCGTCGTCGTTGTCAATGCTTATTGTTTATGGTTCAAATTTAATTAGTTGAATTTCGTCATTGAATCGATCCATCCGAACATCTGCCTATTTTAAATGTGTAAAATCGAAATTTATATAAAAAAAAAATCGTCGATAATCCTTAAATGGAAAATGGATTTTTTTTGGTTGGATTATGGTTTCACTTTCTTATTGAACCCTTCTGTTTCATCAATCAGAATTCCAATAACTGACCTTTCTTCTGACGATTACGTTGACTCGATCGGTACATCTACGGGATTTCATTCCATAATTCTTTTCGTGTCCAGATGCTCAGAAACGCTGTATGTCAATCGGTTTATCAATCGTGACCTTTCAGGGAAATGTTTTGCATGTGCCAGTTTTAGTTTTAGTTTTTACTTTCGGAATTCTTTGACATTGCGGGAATTTTGACGTTTCTCAATGCGAGCAGGAAATATATACGCGTTGGACGAGTGTAAACAAACAGAATTGCGGTGTGAGTGTATGCGTTGCGCGCTCTTCCTAAACAGCATTGAGTGAGTACGTGTTGCGCAGGGACCGATGCGGCAGGGCTGTCCAATTATCTGCATGCTTTTCAAAGTAAGTTCTCGAATGTGTTAAAGAAAGAAATTGTAAAATAAACGGACAAAATGGGAAAATGTTGTTGCTTTCATCTTTATTTGGGGCTTTTGATGTTGTTTCATGTTCTCACAATTGCATGTCATGTAATCGTTTAATATTCTATTGTTTCTCTAAACTTCTGTACTGACTAAGTCAGGTTGGCGCAGGTCATTTCCACTTCTCTAACATTGAATTTAAAAATAGGTTTTTCTTTTTTCTCTACTATAATTTAAGTGATTGATCATTGTGCCGGTGCCTCGATTAATTTCAAAATTAACAATTTTTCTTTTAAAATTAATACGTAATAATTGCTTCAAAATGATTCGTTAAAAATCCCCTACATGAGAAGATTATAAATGTTTGTATGCATGTTTTTATTTTCTTCTTCTTCTTCTTTTTTTTCAAATGTGAATAGTTTCGTATTCGACTAACGAGTTGATTTTGCATTTGCTGCTGTTGCCTAAAAAAATCACTAGCTTTGATAAAAGTTATTCATCATTTAAATCTATTAAAGTAAACATATATGTGACTGAGAATTTGAGCGTATCATTGCATTTTAATCTTCATCATCGTCGTCCAGCAACGCGAATGCGTTGCGCTTCGGCTTGATTATGGCATCGTCGTCATCGTCTTGCGAGTTCTCTTCATTGTCTGACTCCTCATCTTTGGTGTCTGTTTTTGTAAAAGAAAAATAATGGGAAATTGATTAGAATCTTCTTTTGTGTTTTGTGATGAAAATCACCACATGTGGTCGGATAGTTGCAATTAGATGGAAATTGGAAAACCATCGGTGGCAATTCGAATAACCACGACAAGTGTCAGACTTTTCTTTGCCAAACAAAACATTCAACTGGTGAATATTTTGTATCCTTTTTCATGTCTTACCATCTTCATTTTCCGAGTCTGAGTCAAAATTTTCGTCGACTTCAACCAGATCTTCGGATATTCCAAGCGCTTTGATAGCCTCCACATCACTAATACCTTCATGCGTTTGCCATGCATCCTCTTTTGCAACGAATCCGGGTGGAAGAAGCGTCATCACGATTTGGCCACTGAGTGTCATTCGTAAAATGTGATTGGCCGCTCGGTTGGTGTCTGCAATAAATGATAATTTCAATGTTTTCGATTGGGAAAAGGATTCAATTTATGAGAATAAATATTTTGGTTGATCCAATGTATTGGTTAGAAGAAAAAAAATATGTATGAGTAAGAAAAAGATTTTTTTAATAATCTGCACCTGGTCGAGCTGCTTTGGCTGTGAGAAATCCACGTGTCAACGCCCATGCATCGCAAATTTCCATAGCCGACCACAATCCTTCGACTTTGATGTTCAGCGTTTTTATCAAATCGATGCGTTCGGCCAAATATTGAACAGATGCGAATGGTTCGCGTAGCTGTGCAATAGGATAGCTACCGATCAACACTTGCAATTTACGTGGCACAGACGATGGAAACACTAATCCGGGACAGTCACACAATCGTACATTATTTGTTAAAAATATGGTTTGGAAATGTTTTGTATGGCCTGGAAACGGTTGAGGAAAAGAAAATTGATTAATTGATTCAACGAATTGAGAAAATAAAGTTTAAAATCAAGAAGTCAATGTTGCCAAACCTGGTGTTTTGCTAACGCTCACAACCTTTTTGCCCATAAGAGCATTCATAAGAGATGATTTGCCAACATTTGGAAAACCCACACAGCCAACTGTCAATATACCATTTTGAAAGCGAACACGATCTTTCATATCAAAGTCGGTGTCGTCAACTTGACGAGCCTGCTGTTGGTCGAAACTCGTTGATGGCAACCCTTCATTTATTTGCATACCCTTTATTTCGTCGATAATTTTATTCTCCCAACTTGTGATATCAATTTCACCTTTGACAATCGCTTTGCAAGCCTGTTGAATTTGGTATGCACCCTCTTTGGCCATACGCATTTTACCGCGGCGACGAAGAATCTTCAAACCACCGGCTGCTCCATCGCGTTCCGGTACCGATCGTAAATTATACGATGGAAACGATGTGAACAGAATGACTCGAATATCCTTGTACGTCTCTTCGAAATAGTGTTTCCAGGCGAGCGCAATGTGTGATGGCACCAAATCGATTTTATTCAACACCAAAATCATGTGCTTGTTCAACGTTTGCGTGACGTACTCGAACAGCGAAGGCGGAAAAAGCAAACTCTATAGTAATGACGAAATAAAAAAAAAATTGATAGTTTGATGTCGATTGAATTTCAGGAGCCAATGGCTTTCGAACCAAACAAAAATTCGAATTATGTCTTACGGGATATCGTGCGTCGACAATCACAAGTATAATATCGGATATTTCGAGCACTCGCCACAGTTGTCGCCATGTTTCCAGGTTTAGTTCACAGTAGCTCAACGATTTTCCTTGTTCGGCATGACTTTTCTCTAGTTTCATAACATATTCCTATAGAAAGTGGCCAAAAAAATCGACGCAACCGACGAAAAATAGAAAAAGAAAAAAAAAACAACACTCGAATCAATTGAGTTATTCAACCCACGCACGACGCATCACCACACAGGTGACACACAAAACAACATAGTTGTTGCTGTGGCTGGCCTCTATCACCAAATACTCAACTGTAAAATATCGATTTTCGTTTCTATCTACCGCCTCCTTTGACATATCATAAGACCATTTGGGCCGAATGGGAAAATCGTATCCGTGAAAGTATTCATCGCCGGTTTCGAGATCGCTGCGCAATATGAATTGGATGGGCTTTCGAGCCGCATCCTTTTGTGCTTTCATCTCTTTGACCGTCTCACGATGAAAGGATAACGCATATCGATTTGCGTTGCGACGACTAACCGATGGTTGAAAATTGATTTTCTGTACACCAGATGATTCACCCGCCTGATCTGACTCGTCTGTTGTGCTGTCGTTTGCTTCATTTGACAAGAGGCTATCTGTGAAGTGAGAAACAGAGTGAGAGATAGTAAATAGAGAACAAAACCATGCATATTGACATTTTCGATCGAATTTATTTTCAGGTTGACGTTGATGTGACAATTTGTTGCTTCATTGATTGGTTGTCGACACGGTGGCTTTGTATTTGAACAATATGGATATCGAGAGTACGCAACAGAAGCGTATATCACTCGAAAAACGATAATAAAACGGAGAAAACAATGAAGAGACATGCAATTGAAATCGTGATTGTTGTCGACGACGACGACGACGACGACGACGACGGCGACGGAAGCAACGATGATGACACATTGAAAAGCAATAAAGTAACGATAATTTATGAGTTTGATAAGCAACAGAAGGGCACATTGTTTGTCATCATCAGCATCATCATGATTCACGATTTATCCTTGTAAACAAAAAAAAGCACATGACTGCATAAAAACAACAACCCCACACCACCAATTTCAAAGTGCGACTAACACTTTTTTTTTTGTGTCTCACCCGAAATCACATGCAATGATTGCAATGCAATTTTCGCGCGAAGTTCTATTTTTATCGATGATTGTTAAATATTTCGAATCGTATGTATTTCCTTGTTTCGATTCCGAGAATGAATAATCTTAACGAATCCTTGTTGTGAATTCGGAAGCGATGTGTGTCTAGAAGTCAAAGCTTAGAATTTCAAAACTCATTTCGCAATTTCAAATTGAGTGTGGTAGATTTGTTGACACGGCTGTGATATATGGGTCGAGTAGTAATGAACGAATTGAGTTTTATGAAGCAAGAGGCAGCTAGGTAGGTAGCAAGAGAGAGAGAAAGATTTATGATGACAAAACCACAATTTCCAATTAGAGTCCGGAAAATGAGTTCGAATCACGGGTAAAATTGAAATATATTTGACGACACCGACACACTCGTGTACGTGAAAATGAAAATTGGCAAGTAACGGAATGATGCCAATTGCTTGATATTAAATCGTGAGCGGTGCTGAACAACAGAGAGGCATGTTATGTGTATGGCATATATGTGCACGGTGTGAATGCGATTGAGGGCGAGTTGTAGACCGATGCATGTGATACACACGTTTAACCAAAAACATGTTTCAACCGAAATGTTCATTACCGAAAATAGGTGTGCCTCTATCTACCGCGTGCTCACCCGCCCTCCCGTCAAAATCCAATTGTCCGCGTGCGCTCACTCACTCTCTCGCTCGGTCGCTTGCTCGTTATGTGCACACGAGGTGCACGCTCATGATGGAATCAATGTGAATAAGTTTATGACGGTTCAACAGCAGCTACCTATACCGAAAAAGTGAGCGCGCGCGAGCCAATATATCTATCAAATGAGCAGCGCGTGTATCAACAAGAGAGAAGCAAGCAAGTAAGCAAGCGAAAAAAAATCTCATGCGGAAAATTTGTCCGCATTTTATTCCCTTTTTTGCACTTGCACACCTCTCTCTCTCTCTCTTTTTCTCTCTCTCGTGTGGATGAAAGTTTCTCATCATCATTACCATCATTATGAACAAACATGGTTTTTGTTAACTTTTTTTCATCCTGTATATTGCCAGTATTGCATCAGTTTAGATTGTCCTATATAAATCTATGTGCGCTATGTTTTTATATACAATAGGCGACCCAATAAATAAACCAATGTTTGTTGAACTGATTTCAGGCGTTCATTCGTCCGAATTGCACATCTTCCCGATGTGCAATGCACATTTTATCGCAGCAGCAACAGTGGCAGCGAAGAGAGCAAGAGGAGTGCAATTGGCATGGATGCATTTGTATTTGTATGTCACGCACATACACACATCACTCCAACACACTTCGGGATAGCAAAAGTGATGTGAAGACAAATGGTAATGATTGGAAGACCAACATATATTCGGCGGAGTTCACTCGGGAATTTTAGCCGCGCAAAAACATTGCAAAACACTAACGCGGGCAAAAACAACAACAATAACCACCAGTTCAGCAGCAGCAGCATCATCATCTGAATTTGGAAATGAAAATTGTACTCACTTTTGCTTTGTCGCTTGGACAGCAGCAGTAATTTCTTTTGTTTTCCGCTGAACGGCACTTTTCTTCGATTTTGTGGCATTTTTCTTTCCCTTTTATTTTTCTCTATATCTCTATCTGGCACAACTGTTACCTATCACACACACACTACGTTTATCGTTAAATCTTAAATAATTTTCTTGTTCTTAGTTTAATCTCTTGTTGTATTTCGTTTGTTACGTATACCTTAATTACGGGATTGCTTTAGTTTTGTTTTTTTTCCTTATTTAATAAATCTGTTTCACTAAATAAATAGAAAAAGAATGTAGTTAAAAACCGATTCACTGCGTATTTGTTGTGTATCTTTTTTGTGATTCGATGGGCGAAAAATTCACATCCTTTTTTTACGCCGAGGTACTTGTTGGTGATGTACTGCGTTTCATTGACGCTTCGCGATTGAATGCGAAATCACACATCGAGAGGAGAGAATGTGTGAGAGAGTGTGAGAAATTCGTTTCGATTTGACAGTAGGATAGACGTTCGTTTTGCACCAACCTTTCGGACACACACACACGCACTGACACACACAGTTTGCGAAACGCGAAACAACCAAGACGAAACAGCTGATTTTAGGTGGTGTCAAATGTTCGCTGTTGCGATTTGGAATGACCGAGAAACTGATTGCTGCTTGCTTGATGCCATGTGCGTCATCGAAATTCATATACTGTGTTCAGCATATTATGGTCGAGAGAAGGAGAGAGAGAGCAATCGAGTATATCTCGTGTATATGGATGGCGATTCGTATCTCGTTCGAATGATGTGTGTACTGAGACTGCGGTTGCCGCAATTTTCATTTCACTTCACTACGACAGAATATTTCTCTTTCTCTCTCTTACGCTCGGTCGCTGCCTGCCTGACTGTCAAATCGATTTCAACGAACTTACGGCGCTGACGCATGGACTGAGCGCTCATGTATGTGTGTTGACACTTCACAAACACATTGCCACGGTTGAAACGTCAAAACAAAATATAATAACATAGAAAATAATGTGCGTGATAATATTTTAAGCGTCGAGTTGTTCTTGGGAAACATTTTGCAACCATTTTAATTGCAATTGAGGATGATTCAGTAGCGTTTTTTTGCGGAAAATTGAATGAAATGTCATCGTTCACGGAAACATTTAACAACCGAGAGCCTCCATGTGTTACACGAGATGCTGCTTGGTCGCGAACACTACGTGATCTACAAGCCACGGCTATGTCGATTGACTACTCCGGTCAATGGGTGCTTTTGGCTGGAAGGTACGTATTAGTCCATTTGGTTCAATTACGTTTTTATTCAACTTTTGTTATAAATAGTTTAAACTTTGTTTAATTTCATTTTTAAGACGACATTTAGCGCTGCAAAAACTCGATCCCGACCAAACCAACGATGATAATTTTCTGCGCAAATTCCATCGCAATTCGAAACACGAAATTACTGCGGCCGAATGGGCAATTTGCGAAGAGTCACAAGAATATTGTGCCATTGCAACGAGCCAACTTATTGAAGTGATTACATGGCGATCGGGTCATCCAAATTTAATTCACTCTTTACGAGCACACACTAGAGTTATCACAGATATTGATTGGCATTCAAAGACGCCGTATTTGTTAGCCAGTTGCTCCATCGATACTTTTACGCATTTATGGTGATTACACGCATTTAGTTTCATTGATTGCAACATTGCTGACTTTTGAACATATTGAAATTCTTCTTATTTTCAAATATTTTACACATTTCAGGGATTTGAGAGATCCAAAGAAACCTACGATGTCATTGAGCGCAGTTTGCATGTGTAAATATTTCATTGTTTTTACTTCCAATTTCCCTTTTTGTTCAACATTTTAAGGGACTTTGATGTCAGTTATTTGGCACTCAATCACTTTAGTTATAATTGAAATTATTATGAATAATTTTATGCATTGCATTTCAAGCTGGAGCAACGCAAGTTGGATTCAATCGGGTGTCGGGAAATCTGCTGGCTACTGCTCATGACGGTTTGTAACACTATTGCCATTTTGTTTTCATTTTGAACTATTTTAATTTCTCTTCCCTTCCAAATCGGCACAGGTGACCTGAGAATTTGGGATTTACGCAAAGGATCATGTCCGATTCAATACATTACGGCACATTTGGCTAGGTAAAAAGTAAAATCCCGTTGAAATAACAAAAATCGTACAAATTGATTTACTCGAAATTGGCACAAATGAAATTTTTTTAAATATTTGATTGACACACATATTTTCCATTGGATTTTTTATTTTTTTCATTTCGTTTCAATTTTGACTCTGAACTTTTTCTGAACTCGTCTAATTAAGAATGATATTTCAATTAAATTAAGATTTGTTGAATTCGTATTCGTAGAATCCACGGAATAAACTGGAGCCATAAGCAGGAAACGCACCTTACGACGGCGAGCCAAGATGGAACGGTGAAATATTTTTGCATCAACAATCCACGGCGTGCAGAGAAAATCATCACAACCGGTTCGCCTGTATGGCGTGCTCGATACACTGTAATTAGCATTCATCCAATTTAAATTGATAATTCCATTAAATTGCTTGCGATTGAATTAAATATCGTGATAATTGTGATGACATGAAAATGTGATTAACCATTACTAATTTATTTTTTAAAAAAATTCCACTTTCAGCCGTTTGCTGATGGGCTAGTGACGGTTATCGTTCCGAATTTGGGTCGCGGAGAGAATAGTTTGTTACTTTGGAATAATGCACGGCAAAGTGCGCCAATTTGTTCGTTCACCGGCCATTCGGATGTGATTCTTGATTTTTCCTGGCGACCGAACCGTCACTATGATAACACCGATATGGTAAATAAGTATATTTAAACTGAAAGCTTCAAATGGCTCATTCCGAACTGTTTACATTCTAATATAATTTTTGTGGGTTTTCCCTTTTTCTAGGAACTAGTTACATGGTCTCGAGATCAAACGTTGCGCGTGTGGAATATTGATGAAAGCATACAGAAAATGTGCGAACCAGAAACGCCCGATGAAGAAGGTAAAGTATTCACAAATTTAAATTGAATGTATGAAAAAAGAACGAATAATGACTTGGTTCATACAAAATTGCAGAGTCAGTTTCAACGGACAATGTATTCGAGGGTATTCCAATCAAAGCTAAAACGGCAATGCCAAAGCAAAATAGTATACCAAACGGGAGTCAACATTTATCGATTCCAAAATTCCAAGCTGAAATGGCGAAACCGATGCCAAAATTTTCGTTGCAACATGAATTTTCGCTTTTAAATACAAATATTCCGCACATTGATGTTGAAGTATTGGATGCCGTTAAGCGGCATGCCATGATTCGTGTCTCGGTCAATGGTCATGTTATAATGCTGCAGATTGTTTTCCCCGAGAGTTATCCGCATGTTGATTGCCCACCGGATTTTATTTACTGCCAAGGCACATCGATCGATGACAATTTGGCCGAGTCGCTGAATGACGTTCTAAAGTTGAACGCACAAAATCGGCTGAGAAAGGGAAAAACGTGTTTGGAGCAATGCTTAAGAGCGTTGGTCACCACACTGAAGAAAGTAAGAGGAAGACAATTAACAAGATATTTTATAAGCTCGACACAGTCTTAGGTTTTTCTTTGTTTTTGTTCTTCACAGATAACAAGCACTGGTGATAAATCTTATCTGCGGCTGCAATCTCCTCGTCTCGAAGGCGCACTCAGCGGTGCATTGCATGATAATTGCGTACCATTTCCGAAAACGTGCGGCGCTCGATTCAGTCAAGTCGGCATTTTGGTGACCATTCAACCGCTCAATTCGAAGGGAATTAGTTTTCGGCATCAAAACACAACGCCACGGTAAGACAATAGACAGTCCAAGACAAGAATCACTTTTTGTGATTTGAAAACACTGAAAGTGCAATGAATTCGTTTCATTTCAGCGCACTGTCAGCTCTGAATAACGCTTATTTGGGCAATGTAATGGGAACAAATGTGGTGACACACCGAGATAGCAATCCGTCTATCTTTTTACACGAACGTGCACGGGTATGTATTGGTTTTATTTGAATGGTGAATGGAATATCCATGGGTTTGCGAAACACGCATTTCTGGTCATTGAAAGACTTTAATCAGTCCAATAAGTCATTAGTTTATTTTATGCTTGACAACCGTCTCAAATTCACTCGAAATTCAAAACGAAACCCACTCACTTTTTGCGATATTGAGAACTGAAGCCACACATATTTTCCATTGATTTTGTTTACGTTCGATTCAAAGCCAAGAAACGACAACGGTTTATCTCCATTCATCGATGACTGCTGTCTAAATAAATGATGTTATGATTTTGGTGATAACCAACCCATTGTTTTCAATCAAAATTGTTGATTTTCATGCGAACAAAATTTTGTTGTCAGCATTTAGAAATTAAATATTCTATGTAAATGAGTAAAAATGGCTAAAAAGAGATAAGGGCTACAATCCCTCTCTAAGAAATAAAAAGGGAGACAACCTTACAATCAATCGTTGTCGGGAACGATTGGGTACAGAATGTTCAAGCCAAACAATTTTCATACTAACATCATGGGCCGAGTAGCGTAATGGCTAACGCGCTGGACTTCGGATCCAGAGATTGTGGGTTCGAGTCCCATCTTGGTCGAATATTTTTTTTTTATTTCGTTATTGTTTATCATTTCTTTTTAAATGCGATATTCTTACTGAATAAGCAATTTTTTTTCGCCAAATATTTTAATATTTAGTCGGATCAGTAGTGTCATTAGTAGTATCCATTCTATGTATTTCTGGTATTTTCCTTCTCATTCTTATTCTACTTTCTCAGTGCAATAACGGTCATCATACAGATGAATGAAGTGTTTGAAACTTCAAGATGTCAATATATATACCATTTTGTTGATTTGTAGCATTTTCATTGAAACATCACATTTTTATCGCACTCTCAGCGATTTTTGAATATTAAATTTTGTATAAATGGATCATGTTGTTCCATATTAATGGGCAAAAATCAATTTCCGTATTGAAAAACTAAAAACAAAGCCGATAATTGTGGAAATATTCTAAAAAGAGGGCCTCTGAAAAAAGCAAAAAAAAAATAATCCTTTGCCTGGAAAAAAGCAATCCTACCCCAGGCGGGGATCGAACCCGCGACCTTTGGATTAGAAGTCCAACGCGCTTCCACTGCGCTACTGGGGCATATGGAAGTACGTTGTCTATATTCATTCATCAACGATACAGCGCTGAAATAGCTCATGTGTGTGTGGCATTCATTCCTCGGTGCTATTTCACATATTATCTCATCATTTCAACATTTTATACGGTGTTTAAAATTTTATAGTGAACACATTTTTTACTCAAAATAAATATTGTCTGCGTGTCTGTTGTCACAAGTGTTTCTGTATATGAATGAACAATAGCAAAAATTTCGGGCAGTTTATTGCACTCGGAAAAATTTTGGAATGAATGAAAATTTGTTCATCTTTTTGAGAGAAAAAAATCATGAGGATAAGGCAATGCGGTAGATAAAAGGCTATGCTATAGATAACATCGATAGCAATGAACTTCTAGACTAATAACAACGTGCTACTGTTGCCATAGCACAAGAAGAGCACAGTGACACCATCTATGGGACCATAGGCAAAATGAAATACAACGAAGATTTTTTTTCGTCTGTACTAACCCCACTCATATTTCATATCTCTTTGGTTTCTCTTTGTTTTGTAAACAATTGCCGGATTTATTCAACAAATGTTTTGATTATGCGTTTTTTTTTTCTTCTTCATAATGAAATTTTCAATTTTGTTTTTATTTTTCTCTAATTTTCTCTTTTTTTTTCTGTGAATAGAAATCAACTCGCATTCGAAATGCACCGGCCAAAATGGAAGCAGCCACCATTCATGTGTATGATGTAACCAAAGTGCTGGGTGTTAATAAGAAATTAGCGGAAAAATATATCATCGATTCAGATAATTTGACAGGTAAGATCATCGGCAATACATCTTGTGGCTATGCCTAAGGCAGTTAATTTACTCAATTTTCGAGATTTTTCTGAAACGAATCTGTTTTCCATTTTACAGAAATGTGCGAGCACAATCGAACGGTGGCAGAGAAGCATGGCAATCCAGATACGGTGCAATGTTGGAAATTGGCGCACTTGATAGCAACGTCCGTTGCAGCTTCCACTGATTCATTGGACGACGAGATTTTCTCACAGCAAATTCCATTCCCGAAAATACTGCTGGAGTCATTGTAAGGCTGTTTTTTTTCATAGTGTATTGAAAGATTCTTATAAGATTCGTTTCTTGTCTTGTAAGACTCAACTCACTCTGTCATTCTTGAATGAATAGATTGAGAAATCGTTTTTTTGTCCTCTCTCTATCTCTCTCTTCATTCTAGAATCAGTCATTTTGCGCATAAGTGTGACATTCAAACCGCCGCAATGTTGTGCTGTGCCTTTGGCCGGCACTGTCCATCAAATGCCGAAATCTCGCGAAGTTCCAGTTTGAGCGGAAAGTCGCTCAATGGCAGCGTAAGTTACAACATGGAAAATATGCTTTAAGTGAATTGCTTTAGCAGCAAAATCGTTTACATTTCACATTTTATGCACCAAAGATTTGATTTTGTAGTGTACTATTTACAAATTCTAAATTGATTTTGCGATAATTTTTTCCTTAACCATCGTAGCTTATTGATTTTATATTCACACCGTAGTTCATTCACCTCTGTACATAGAAGTTTACTCGGTAGATGAGTGTGTTTGTATTTTATCTCGCACATACACGAGGCACAGATTCACAGACTCATAACTTTTGGTGTTTGGTTTAGCAAAGCTGTTGCTCTTTGTCAATTGCAATTGTTAAAACTTTTTTTTATTGTGAACTTGATGCACATCACAATTCACTCACAAATAAACTCATAAAAAGTAATCAAAATATGACAGTGAGAAAAAAAGATTGGAATTTTCGAGCCGGTCAATTTTGATTATTTTTCCATATTGCACACGCACACATAATATTCGCATAATTCTTTTATCTTTTGTGGTGTTTTCTTTGGATTATATTTGTAGCATTTACTAAGTAATCAACGCATTCTTAAGGTAATTTATTATTTTCGCATTATTTTCAATCTGTTTATTTTGCACATTAAAATGTCACATGTTCTGTAGATGTTTGCTCTAGTTTAGCTGTACTATGAAATATTAATTGCCTTTCAATTAGTTCGAAGTGAATGCATTTTTGCGAATGGAACATCATTCAATTGTGTGGAAGTAAAACTTGAATGTATTCTTTATCAATTTCCAAACCAAACAGCCGAGTGCCAGTCCATATCATACAATTCAGCCGGTTGATTCGCAGTCGGGACAATCGTGGAATTTTTTGTCTCAATGGAAGCAATTCCGAAGCAATTCATGGTCGGACTCACTGGATGACTGTCGCATCGTTCCTGCATTGGATCTCAATCGGTTTGTTTCTGCCATGTATTTAAAAATAAAATCAAGAAAAAGCTAATGAATTTCAATTTCTTCATCAGATCTCTGTTGGGTGATTCGAATCGGCATTTGTATGACTGCTATAAGCGTGTGTATGCCGAAATGCTGTTCCGTTGGAATCTACTGGTGCCACGTGCTAAAGTGTTGAAATACCTGAGTGCAAATCCAGAGATTCACCGAGATGTAGAATATGTTACTGAGTGTACGAGCTGTGCACGTGTCACCAAGGCACCGCTGTGCAAAGAATGCCGAAAACCACTGCTCACGTGTGTTTTGTGTCGATTACCAGTCAGAGGATTGGCTAATGCTTGCTTAAATTGCGGTCATGGCGGCCACACATCCCATATGAAAGTTTGGTTTTCGGTAAGAATTTACATTGGAATCGGAATTTGTGCACAATTTCAAAGACAATATGTAGAAAGAAGCCTGGCGATCTTCGATCATGCTTAACTATTCAGCCCATTTATTGCGAATTATTGAATCAATTATTATTTATAATTCACAACGAAATTTCTTCTTTTTTCACATCAAACATGACTAATTGACATGAAATTGTTGTTTTTTATTTGCAGAAAAACGAATTTTGTGCCTCAGGCTGTGGCTGCCAGTGTTTGAACTACATTATCAAATAAGCACTACATATTTGCATACAAAAATTATAGCATTTTTCTATAGCTCAGACAAGTTTTTATCGAATTGGAGAATAAATAGAATATTTTCTATTGTAAAATGTAGTACTCTGGTTTTCTATCCATCTCAGTAATTAATGTTAATTTGGCATATCTCACGATTGTCTCGATTTCACAGAAAAAAGTCGTTTTTGTATTTGAAATGTAAAAATAATCGTTGAAAATTGACACAGCATACAAAAATGAGTCAAAAAAATATAAAAAAAGGTCAGATTTTATCCACTGTTGCGGTCAAATGGTGACTAGTAAAAAGCATCCTACCCCAGGCGGGGATCGAACCCGCGACCTTTGGATTAGAAGTCCAACGCGCTTCCACTGCGCTACTGGGGCATATGGATGTTCGGCGATACAGGCACGCTAGCCACTGCGCTAAGAAGACACACACATGATCGCTAATATCTTTTGTAAGTACACATCTAGCGCACGTCACATACGAATTTTCAGAACACATGTTGGAAGAGCAATAGGTTTGTATTGAGTCTGGAAGCTGTAGTAAAACCAACAACAACAACAACGATAAACGGGATATGTTGACTTTCTAATTAGTTTCATCGCACTGCCAAGCTGAATCACATCAAACAGATTGTGAATATTGGCCAATGTTATGCTAATCACGAATATGCATCATTAAGATATGAAAATCGCAAACTGTGAAACATGAAAGGAAATAAAACAAATGTGTTGTTCGATTGTAAAATCAACGAAATAAGGCATTTTTGAGTTAGTCAAAGCAATCAACAGAATATTCCGGTCAACATTTTTATCACAATCAAAAATGATGTTTGCTTACTCTTGTGTGCAAGCTGTTATCATTGTTATTGTTCACAAGCCTAAGACAAAACATAACTGAACAGAGAGCAAAACGTAATGCATGTGTAAAAAA